TTTAGTAACTTTTTAGTAACTTTTCACCTATTTTGCAAATTTTATACAAAATTAATGGATATTTTGATCGATTTGCAGAAATTATTCAACAATTTGATAGCAAAGAATCGGGTTTTATAGAGGAATTGAAAGAATTGGTTGTGGATATTAATGTTAAAAATCAATTGGCATTCATTTATGCTAATTTTGTTTGTCTTCGAATAGCTATTAATAAATTAGAATCCCGTGATACAATTTTATTCAAAAAATTCATGTAATTAACCGTTTAATGTACTATTTTGATGCCAAATAAATAACTTTTCCTTAACTTTTTACCACCTTTTTATCACCTTTTCAGCCATTTTTAAGTAACTTTTTAAGTACCTAAAACACTTTTTTTGTCACCTAAGAATCAATGCTTTAACGATTACTTAATGATTTTGCTTTAAATTGCAACATTAAACAAAACACATGTAATAAATGTAAATTAATTTATTATCAAATTCAACAGTATATGTTACAGTAACACATATTGTTACAGACAAAACTTAATATCCACTTAACTAGATAAATTAATAATTGTAATAATAATAATTTATACTTAAATTACAAAATTTAAAATCAATCAGATTTCTGAGTCGGCCGACGATCGGCGGACAGTCCGGTGCGGCGATCGTCGAACACATACGCCGACAGCGATCGCTGCAAACGGCCGAACGGCAACTCAAACACCGCCGACACGACTGTCATTACTAGACAATTGAGTCCAATGGCCGACAGTAAGAGGACCGGCGCGGGAACCGTACGGCCCATACCCTCCGGTAAGGCATCGAATAAATGCTGTGCGAAATAGTCGTGCAATAAATATAAAGGCAACTGTACTGAGCCTATGGGTCGCCACCAACGGCTGGATAGGAAACGCTTGCATAGACTGTTGTTATGGCTGTCGTTGTATATAATGGCCGAAAAACATATGATTACGGCGTAAACCCCGGTATACACCATATGGAGAGTTAATAACTGTATAATAGGCCGGGCAGGTATGGGCACCTGGGTGAATAGTTTAATTTGAGCTGTTATATATCTCGATCTAATACATTATATAATGATAACATTATAAATACAATATGGATTTGAATGAAAAACAATTTTTATTAATCATAGATTGCAATAAAGTTTGATTTGATAAATAAAATTATTGATTAAATGTGTTTATTCTTAACGTGTTTTTTCAAATCACGTGTCGTAACAAAGCGTTGATTACAGTTATTATGAATACATTTATACCTTTTTATATTCAAATGTCGTTTCGTGTGTTCATTCAAATTACCCTTATGCGAAAAAGCTATATTACAATTATTGAAATGACAAACAAATGGTTTTTCTCCCGAATGTATGCGTTTGTGTTCACTAAGATGTGATTTCTGACCAAAACTTTTACCACAATTTTCTTCATTACATTTGAATTTCCTTTCATTCAAATGAATACAACTTTTGTGAAGAAATAAGTGTTGTTTTGATTTAAAACTTTTGTGGCATTCATTAAAATCACAAATAAATCTCTTATTTAAATGAACGATGTTTTTGTGTTGATATAATAATGCATAATGTGCAAAAACCTTGTTGCAATTTTTAATATCACATTTAAATTGTTTTATTTCCGAATGAATTAATTGATGTCGAGTTAAATGTTGTTTTGTTGTTGTCTTGAATTGACATTTAGGCCAAAAACAGTGGAAATAATCACCAGATTTAGTAATGATATGACAATTGTTTAGCATTTTATCACTGATTATTATTTCACACAAACTCTTCATTGCATTTAATTTACTCTTCATTTCATTCAACGAAACACTCATTAATTTTGAGCACATTTTCATTCAAATCAACAAAAATAATTAATTAATACTAAAATAATAAAAGAAACACACAATAAATGCAATGATACAAACATTTGAAAAATATACTCAATGTGTTTGTAGTTTTGTTTAATTTCCACGTGTTTTCAAAACTGCATTTTCATGACAACCAAAACCTGTTCCCAGATATCAATCATTAGATCTCATGACATCTCAAACAACAATACAATATATTTATTAATTTTAATTACAATTAATTATTAAATTATTTATTTCTTAAATTCAAAATCTAAACATTTAAAAATACAAAAGTATTTTATATCTATTTATTTAAATTGTTGTTTTTTAAGTTAACCATAAGTATAAATCTGATTAAAAATTTCTGTATTGAACATTAAATGCTGACACAAAAATTGATTGTGATTAATTAAAATGTTGTCTTTAAAATTTTTATACTGTATAATCTACAAGCATGCATAGTGCGTTAGTTATATAAATTATTTACTTAACTATATAATATTATGTCATACACTTATACTAAAAAAATATTGATGTGATTTCTACTTTACAAGTTTATAAATAATATTACAAGTTATGTAGTGCAAAAGTTATAAACAGTTTGTATACCTTATCCTGATTAAAAATCATATTATATATAATAGGTACAATAAGAATATCTGAGTATGTTGCTAATAGGTTTTGAAAATAATGATTTTAGTTGATTTATACCAATTATTAAACTATTTAGTGCAATTAGGGCAAATTGTTACTTTATTCAATAATCACCTTACCTAATAAAATAGATCAAATATTAAGTGGATGATTAAAACCATAGTATTAGTCAGGCACTAATTGATATAAAAGCATACTATATAAACAAGTAGATATTGCTGAAATCAATAAATAAATATTAAATCTATTTATTTACTTTAAACTTAATTATTATATTTAATAATTTAAAATGTTTAATAAACTTGTATTTTATTCGTTACTTATTTTTGTGGTTTGCATTGAATACAGCGCTGGTATTGATGTGAAGACAACATCGGGTGTAGTGAGGGGTCAGACGATAGATGTGTTGAACGTAAGTATTGACCAGTTTTTGGGTATACCTTATGCCGAACCACCCGTCGGGAGACTCCGGTTCGCCAAACCTGAACCCANTGAAGACAACATCGGGTGTAGTGAGGGGTCAGACGATAGATGTGTTGAACGTAAGTATTGACCAGTTTTTGGGTATACCTTATGCCGAACCACCCGTCGGGAGACTCCGGTTCGCCAAACCTGAACCCATCAAAACACCCAAACCGGTAAAATAGCACAAAATATATCATAATTTTTATTTGCAAATAAATATAAAATAATTATATTCTGTATGTTATTGTTTAGGATATTATCGATGCGACAAAACCCAAGTATTCTTGCACTCAAAATCCTAACCCAATGTTCCCAAATCTAACTCAAAGTGAAGACTGTTTGGTATTAAACATATGGACACCAAATGCGGGCAATAATAACACAAACAAATCACAGCTCAAACCCATTATGTTTAACATACACGGAGGGGGTCTGAGTGTTGGCTCATCATTTATTTTCCCGGGAGGTAATGGCAGTATTTTGACCACACATGATGTGGTGTACGCCTCGATAAACTACAGGTTAGGACAGTTGGGCTTTCTATACGGGGATCGGGAGGACGCGCCCGGAAATGTCGGCTTTTATGACCAGTTATTGGCTCTCAAATGGGTATCAATTGATCGCTTGTTTTAGTTATTATTGCTACAGTCAATTACCTTTGCTTTCAACTATCTGTGCTGTCAACTAATCGATCATATCAACCAAACTCTAAAACCCAAATACACACCACATAGACATAATGTTAAAATAATCTCTATGTTGTCAACATCTGTGTTGTCAACAATCTATCATGTATAGAAAGCCCAACTGTCCTAACCTGTAGTTTATCGAGGCGTACACCACATCATGTGTGGTCAAAATACTGCCATTACCTCCCGGAAATGTCGGCTTTTATGACCAGTTATTGGCTCTCAAATGGGTATCAATTGATCGCTTGTTTTTGTTATTATTGCTATTTATTAATGAAATAATATATGATTTTATGACATAATAACAGGTTAGAGAAAATGCTGAACAGTTTGGCGGAGATAGGGATCAGATCACTATATTAGGCGGCAGTGCCGGGAGTTGGTCGGTGTCCGCACACATACTCTCCCCGCTATCCAAAGGCCTATTCAAGAGAGCTATTATGGAGAGCGGCGCCCATATGTATAACAAGGACAGGGATATTGTTAGTAAAAACGAGTCAATACTTTTAGGCAAACGGATAGCAAAAGAGCAGAATTGCAGCGAAAGTGAGGATTGGTTGCAATGTTTGCGAGGATTGGACGCAAAAGTATTCAACAAATACACGATTCTCTTAACATATCCCGTATTGGGCACTGAATTCCTACCTATTTCTGCTCAAAAGGCATTTGCGGACAAACAATATAACTCAGGTATGGATTTGTGATTTAAAAATATACAATATTTATAATTATTAAAATGTTTATATAACATTTAGATGTGGACATAATCGCCGGCATCGCTACCAATGAGGGCTCAATGTTATCGCAATCAACACTTCCGCCGAAAGACAATATAACTGTTGATGACTTCATTGAGTCCACAAAAACAGCGGACAGTGTTTACCACGGATTGGATGTGAAACGTGTGGACGACTATTATCTACAAAATGTCGACAAAAACAGTTCACTTGAGCTCAAGAAAGCGTTTTATGAATTGTTTGGCGATTTAATGATGAAATGTCCGACATATCTGTTTGCCAAACAAGTGGCCGCCAATGCTAAACAAGGTCGTAATGTATATTTCTACCAGGTCACTTACCAGGACAAATATACTGCCCACCAATTGGGTTGTGATCGGGAAGGGATGGGTATATGTCATTGCGCTGAGAGTACGTTCACATCCGGACAACCATACCTCACACCCGGTCTCTATACCCTCTTAGACGCCGAGTTTAGCGCAGATGCCATGAAAATGTGGACTAATTTTGTTAAATATGGGTAAATACGAGAGAGAGAGAGAGAGAGAGAGAGAGACTTATTAATTGTTTTTCTAATTGATAGCAAACCAACCGTAAGCGAAGAGTGGCCACAATTATTGACTAATAATATTATTTCTGTGAAAAACCTGAACCCAAACCCTAAACCCAATGTATTTATCAATCCATACGACACTACGTGTGAAGGCGTTTGGAAAACATACTTCTTGTAAAAATAATATGTTTTCAAATTTATAAATTATAAAGTATTAACAATTTAATTGACATAAATAACACATTAATACAATAAATTGAATCATATTAAAAATAAATGTATATAGTTTATTTTAATTTAAATAATATTAAATTAAAGTAAAATGTTTATACTATATTTAATATTAATTTTTAATTTATTAGATTTATATTTATGCAAATCATGTCGTCGTAAATTACTTAATGTAACAAACAATGTATTACTTATTATAAATATGTTTATACTGTAGATATAATTTTCGGTATAATGAATATCAATATAGTTTTATAATATGATACAATAATTAAAAAACAGCATCATTAATTAAAGGTGTTTATGTTTATTTTTAATATGATTTTTCAAATCTCTTGCCGTAACAAACAGTTAATTACAATTATTTTGAATACATTTATGGCTTTTTATACTCAAATGTTTTTTCATGTGTTGATTTAAATTACGTTTATACAAAAAAGTTTTGTTACAATCGTTGAAATGACAAACAAATGGTTTTTCTCCCGAATGAATGCAGTTGTGTTCAATGAGATCTAATTTTCGATTGAATTTTTTGCCACAATTTTTTTCATTACATTTGAATTTCCTTTCATTCAAATGAACACAATTTTTGTGTCGAAATAAATTGGATTTTTCGGTAAAACTTTTGCCACATTTCTTGAAATTACAAATAAATTTCTTATTAAAATGAGATCTATTTTTATGTCTATTTAAATGATATTTATGTTTGAATTGTTTATTACAACTTTTAAAATCACAAATAAATCTCACATTTAAATGATTGCTATTTTTATGTAAATATAGATTTTCCTTATAAATGTAACTTTTATTACAATTAAGAAAATCACATTTAAATTGTTTTATTTCTGAATGAATCAATTGATGTGTTTTTAATAATGATTTCTTAAATGTCTTGAATTGACATTTAGGCCAAAAACAGTGTAAATAATCATCAGATTTAGTAATGATATGACAATTGTTTAGCATTTTATCACTGATTTTACATGAATTGCAATCAATTGTTTGATTGATTGAAAAATACTCATTATTTTCGCATTCAATCGCTTCACACAAAACACTATTATTTGTATTCAAAATACACTGAATTTTGTCTATTATTTCACACAAACTCTTCATTGCATTTAATTTACTCTTCATTTCAATCAACGAAACACTCATTAATTTTGAACACATTTTCAAGCAAATCAACAAAAAATAATAAATTAATACTAAAATTATAAAATATACACACAATGAGTTCAATGATACAAACGTTTGAAAAGTATATTCAATGTGTTGTAGTTTTGTTTAATTTCCACGTGTTTTCAAAACTGCATTTTCATGACAACCAAAACCTGTTCCCAGATATCAATCATAAGATCTCATGACATCTCAAACAACAATACAATATATTTATTAATTTTAATTACAATTAATTATAAAATTATTTATTTCTAAAACACAAAACCTAAACATTTAAAAATACAAATATATTTATATCTATTTATTTAAATAGTTGTTTTTTAAGTTAACCATAAGTATAAATCTGATTAAAAACTCTGTATTGATCATTAAATGCAGAATACAATTGATTGTTATTAATTCAAATATTAATTTTAAACTTTAACATTTTTATAATTTATAATCTACTAGCATACTGGATGGTGCATTAGTTATGAAAATTATATATCATATACTAATACAAAAATAATATTGATTTTATTTCTATTCTACAAGTTTATAAATAATATTACAAGTTATGTGGTGCAAAAGTTATAAACACTTTGTAAACATTTTCCTGATTAACAATCATATTGTGTAAAGTATATGATACGGTATATACATTACATTAAGAATATTTGAGTATGTTGGTAATAGGGTTTGAAAATAATTATTTTAGTTAATTATTAAACTATTTAGTGCAATTAGGGCAAATTGCTACCTTACTCAATATTTAAATACTTCAAATATTAAGTGGATGATTAAAACTATAGTACCAATCAGGCACTAATTGATATAAAAGCATAGTATATAAGCAAGTAGATAGTACTGAAATCTAAATATTAAATCTAATTATTTACTAAGAACTTAATTATTATATTTAATAATTAAAAATGTTTAATAAACTTGTATTTTATTCGTTACTTATTATTGGAGTTTGCATTGAATACAGCGCTGGTATTGATGTAAAGACAACATCGGGTGTAGTGAGGGGTCAGACGATAGATGTGTTGAACGTAAGTATTGACCAGTTTTTGGGTATACCTTATGCCGAACCACCCGTCGGGAGACTCCGGTTCGCCAAACCTGAACCCATCAAAACACCCAATAAGGTAAAATAGCACAAAATATATCATAATTTTTATTTACATATTATTTTATTGTATATTATTTTTAGGGTATTATTGATGCGACAAAACCCAAGTACTCTTGCATTCAAAATGCTTACCCACTGTTTCCAAATCTAACCCAAAGTGAAGACTGTTTGGTACTAAACATATGGACACCAAATGCGGGAAATAATAACACAAACAAATCACAGCTCAAANACATTTAGGCCAAAAACAGTGAAAATAATCATCAGATTTAGTAATGATATGACAATTGTTTAGCATTTTATCACTGATTTTACATGAATTGCAATCAATTGTTTGATTGATTGAAAAATAATCATTATTTTCGCATTCAATCGCTTCACACAAAACACTATTATTTGTATTCAAAATACACTGAATTTTGTCTATTATTTCACACAAACTCTTCATTGCATACAAATTACTCTTAATTTCATTAAACGAAACATTCATTAATTTTGAACACATTTTATAATTCAAATAAAACTTTTATCCGACTAAACAATAATTAACACAAATTTACTTAAATTAAATAAAATAAGCAATAAATATCATGTATTGTTCACATGTGTTGTATTGAAATGAATAATTTCCACGTGTTTTCAAAACTGCATTTTTATGACAACCAAAACCTGTTCCCAGATATCAATCATAAGATCTCATCAAAAGCTCATACAATACAGTAGTGTTGGTCACTAACTAATACATTGTATTATAAGCTTAGGTTAGAGCCAATCAAACGGTGTGATCCGATAAAGTGGTTAATCAGAGCAAAGTTAACGGAGCAATAAAATTTATGGTCAGATACGCGTAAATTATGGTCATTTTAGCGGCGGTTTAGTCTTATTAATGCAGTTTATTTTCTGTACTATTTTTATGTTATGCCATAAACATTAACATCCAAGCCCAAATGAAATTGTAAATAGTCATAAGTGTATGAGCAATAATTTGTATTGTAAATCTATAATATATCGTGGGCAATTACTGGGTGGTGATGTGTAGCTCGTTTCGGTGCTCACGAGTGGTGTAATTGGTGGCGATTTAGCAGCTGATCGCGAACTAGACTTACGGCTTGTGTTGAGTTCTCTGGCGAATGCCTCTCAGATCACGTGTGTGACCAAAGAGTGGGTGTTTCCTCCCTGAACGCGGTATGCGAACCAAGAGTGTTGGCGCCCTGACCACCGAGTTAGTGGCCCAAGCACGGGTTGGCTCCCTGACCTCCCAATAGGGCGGCCCAAGAGATGATAGCAAAACACAGTGGGGTTTTGATATCATAAGACATTTTATTGACTCAATTTATTACACAATTTATACGTTTCAATGTTGGGGGAGAACTGCTGCTTAGAGAGCACAGTCTGCCTCTTAAATAGAGCTTTTGGAGGTTATTGTGATAAGAGAGGGATTGACTCCAAGAGAGGCAATCCCTGAGATTACAATAAAATAGAGATTACAAATTAAAACGTTGAGTTAAACATTAAAAATGACTAAACTGTAGGAAATAACGTGATGGAATATTCCAGAGGAATTTAGCTCACGATAAATATAACTTTATTTGACATTAGTAATCTATACCCAGAACTCCAATGAACGCACTTAGAGATTGCTTGCAATACACGAGTTATTTTGAAGTACAGTTAACTCTCAGTATATAAATAAGGGTTTCTCACATATAGTGTAAACAATTGTTTACATTATGATAACAACAAAACACAAACTAAAAATATTAAACATAATTATAAAGTTTCTTACAGTTCATAAAGT